GAACATCAAAATAAATGAACTCTGCAAGGCATTTGGGATATAAACAAATACAAAAGGCTGGGTTTCTGCTCCAGCCATGCTTAAAATGCATTCGTGGATAAAGAACATCCAGAACACATTAAGTAAATAAACAATATAGCACACAATATTATATTTAAGGGCCCCTTTGTCAGTGTCATACTTAAATAACAGAAACAAATGATATTTTACAGCATGAGAAACTGATTTAGTTTACCATCAGAATCCAACCCCCTTTTTAAAAAATTTCTTTATTGATTAAGTTATTACATATGTGTCCTTATCCCCACATTACCCCTCCCCATCCCCTCCCCCGACTCATGCCCTCACCCCCCTGTTGTCTGTGTCCATTGGTTAGGCCTATATGCTAAAATCCAACCCCTTGACTTGATTCTTCCTGCCACTATCTTAGGCCAGGTCTCAGTTACTTCATGCCAGTTACCACCTGTTCTCCTTGTCTCTCCCCTCTTCTCTGTTCTTCCGTGTTTGTTCTAAGCATTGCCGCTAGTCTTAAAATAACTACTTCATATTAGAAGCTGTTCATGTTCTCCATCTACATTTCCACCAGACCGTTGTGCCCAATTTCACCCTATATAGAAATCCTGGAACTGTCATTGTCTTTGAGGGAATACTTTCTCTGAATTCTTAAAGCACTTGCTGTTTGTATCATTTATTTGCCATTTTCACACACTGATACTAAAACTGATTAATTTACATAAGGTTTGTTTTCTAAGTTAGGTAAGTTTTTGGAAGACTGGGATAATTTTCTAGTTTTAGGGGGTTTCTTTCTCTTGTCCCCTGCTAAGATCTGTAATGCCCATATTTGAGTTTGAGGACCCCAATTTAATGTGAAAATTTCTCAGACTCCTACCTCACCAAACAGACATAACAGCATTTACATTTTTCAGGTTCCATAAATCAAAAAACAACAACTTAATGACCATATTGATTTCAGTAACACTTCAGAATTAACATGAATTGTTTTAATGACAATAGTTTCTACATAATTATATATACTCTAGAGGCCCAGTGAACGAAATTTGTGCATGGGGAGAGTGGGGGAGTCCCTTAGCTTGGCCCGCATCCTCTTGCAATCTGGGACCCCTTAGGGGATGTCTGGGATCGGGCCTAACTGGCAGTTGGACATCCCTCTTGCAATCTGGGACCACTGGCTCCTAACCACTCTGCCTGCCAGCCTGATTGCCCCTAGCTGCCTCTGCCTTAGCCCCTGTCACCGTGGCTTCATCTGGAATGACATCTGGAAGGTTGATCCACTGTCCAGTTTAATTAGCATATTATGCTTTTATTATTATAATCATTAGGGTAGGTAGTGGGTATATAATGTGTGTGTGTGTGTGTGTGTGTGTGTGTGTGTGTGTGTGTGTGTTTGATTTGGGGGATATACAGGTTTCTATGAATAGGACCTGATTAATTAAAATAATAACCGAGAAATCTGAAACAGTAAAGAAAAGGCATTGTGATGTTTAAGTTCTGGAAGGAACTTACTAAAATATCCAATTTAAGGATAAAAAGTCTGAATATTTTTATTTGTACAAGTACTTATTAGT